TATCTTATATATATATATATATATATATATATATATATATATATATATATATATATATATATATATATATATATATATATATATATATATATATATGTATGTATATGTATATATATATATATATATATATATATATATATATATATATATATATATATATATATATATATATATATATATATATATATATATATAGATATATAACCACAACAGTCTGTTTCATCCGTATAGGAATCATCAGGTGGTGAGTAATTTCGAAAATGTAGGTTGCTTTTATGCTATCGAAAGAATGCGCGGAATGCGTGTAGGCGAAACAATGCTTAGGCGAAACAATTGATGCTTAGGCGAAACAGTGCTTAGTCGAAACAATGCTTGGGTCATAAAATTTCCGCGTTTTATCCTCTTTTCCGTTTCTGCAATTCCCCTATTCCGTTCCGCAATGCCGGGATTCCGTTTCCGTGTTTTATCCCTACCCATATAAATAGTTCTACATCTGTATTCGCAGGCTAATAGTTTATGTGTCAGTGAAAAAAACAAGTTTTGACAAAAGCAAATTACCAATAACCGCCAAGGGGATTACTGTTTAACTGAATGACAAAAAATGCATGGATGTGTTGTGAAGCGTCATAAGTCTTTTATACATGTAAATTTGTATTCTTCACGATTTTGAATTGATGCTCATGGTAACTGATTTCAAATGACTAAACTGATCATTTATAAATAATTATCCCATGCAACCGTTTGGAAAGCGAAATTTTTACAGAGGACGAAAGTTTCTAGAGGGGGAGTCGAATCTCGTAGGATTTCGCCCCCTCCCCCCGGGAGGGCGAATCTTCCAAAATATAAGTAACATAAGTAAGCGTAATACTTGATGTAATCGGTCACTGAAAAGCGTTAGTGGCAATGGGGAGTTAGCTGAATAATAATGTAACGTAATTGTTTATGCGGAGATTTCAACTGTTCTTATCTAAATATGTACAGTACTATCTTCATGAACTTTGTCCTTACCTTTAGAACTATTTGACCATACAGAACCGACAAAAGCATTCGAACAGATGAAGACTACCAAATACTCGTGCGGAAACATTTCTGATCGAATCTGCTGATCTAGGAGTTTTTGTACTTTTGAGTCAGGTCCTGTTCACTTGGCGCGGTTGGTGATTATCATTCTCACGGACTCGAAACAAGTAAATATATAATTAGCTTCCGTGCCTAAATGAGATAACCAATATTGCAATATCTGCATGATGATATGTCACACTATAATGCTGAAAAACTCAAAAAATGAAAGTAAAATTTTGTACGACTTGTAAATTGATCATATATATATATATTTGTTTGACTTGTCTTTATGAGTAACTTACCGACAGCAAAAGACTAAAATTTAAAATTAATTTTCTTCACTGCAACAATCATACCAACATCCGTATTCCATAAGTCTGCATCTCTTCATCACTAATCAGTGCTAATACTTTTAAATTAGTCAACCATACAAACCTAGTTGAACTTTATGGATAGTGTATAGTCATGCTGAACTTTATGTTGACCATGCGTCTAATCTTCGAAAAAATCGGAAATTAATATAGTAGCCAGACCGGGTTACTGCACTGAATTTAAAACTGAATTCGTATAACAGTAGTGCCTTGCTACTGTCATTTAGGCTTTTTAGATCACCTGGTTTATTCCACTGTCTGGAAGATGGACGAACAGTATAAATATATTATGTTTGTCTTGTGATATTGATTTGGTTATAATAAAAATAACATCTCAAGTACTGAGTTGAGACTTCTTTTGAAGAGAACCTACATTCATGCGCGAAACATATAACTAGCTTGCAAATGTTCAATGACAATGAAACAAAAGCGACTGAGAAATGTGAAGATGCGTCTTTCTTTACGCCTGATAAATTCTACGCCCGCTACTGCCCAACAGCCAGCTAGCTACGCACGCTAAGGACGTAAATGGCAAATTGTATTGTAAAAAAGTTGTATTCAAGGAAAAAATAGGGATGAAATATCCACGAGTGTTCATCAAACGTTTTGAGTGGCATGGATGCAAATATTTCTCACTGAGTTACGGAGTTAATTAAATATTATTGCTGACGTCAAATGTTATATAGACGGCATTTACAATGTTATTTAAAGTTATTGGTTATGTAAGGTGAATAATTGATGAAAACAATCCAGCTTTGAAAGTCTTATAGAAAATCAAACCTCCATTTCAGTTAGGATTTCTTTCTTAACTGCAGGGCCGTACCTAGACGCGATAATTGGGGGGGGGGGGCATATTCATATATTCGTGTTCTGCCTGACGGATTTCGTTTGAAAGCGATTGTTTTTATGATATGTGAACATGAATATATGAATATACCCCCCCCCCCCCAATTATCGCGTCTAGTTACGGCCCTGTTTATTTTATAACACTGCCATAATGGTGAACGTACTAATTTGGTACACGGCGTGCATCAACATGTTGGCCAGAAAACAATTGTCAATTGCTCTTATAAAGAATGCTTATAATCTTTCTAAGGTTGGATAAGTATAGGCAATTTAAAACCAAATAGTCATGTATAGCATAGCTTTTAATAGCCTTTCAAAATAATTCTGATGTCAGCAAATATTTTTCAAAACAGTACGTGACCAGGTGTTATCTAGAATATAGTTTAATACCATGCACTTAATACAAGGGGATGTGAGGGAGTAAAACGAACACATCTCTGTATAGAAAGAAGAAGATCCAGCATTCCTTCATTCATTCATTAATTAATATGCAGTGTGAAAGTAGCTACTTTACCCAGAATGTCCTGTGCCCTGTGCTGATTACTGTGCAAACACTAAATTACAGTATGCATTCAAGTAATATTATGGGATATAAGTAGAATCTTATAGCATGTATGTGCTTTTACTTTAGGGTTTTTCTCTATGCTCCAATTTTCATCTAGTCCTTATTCATGGATTAAGATAACACACAAGAAGTTCTTTTCCTTCAACTAGTTTCGTAAAGTTCATTAAAGTGGGCAAAACTGTCTGTGTCGTTTAACGCTGGTGTGATTTTCGGACCATCATTGTTTGACATTGACGTTTCATAAGGAGTACTATATTCATGCGTACATGAAGTAGGACCTTGTGGATCCTCGAGCTCTTGGTATATATGTGGGGGTTGTAATGCTTGTTGTTCTTCATCGCTTTTGATATCCAGGTCTTTGTCAATCGATTCGTATACTGGATTATTTGTTGCATCTGTCAACCTATAGCTGAATGGACAAAAAATTAATAAGGATACATAAGTTAAGAAAATTTGCGTGTGTAATGAGAGGAGAGCTCGCGGTAATAATCATTCTTAAAACTGGCTATTCTTACAATTTATTTTCAATTTGGGAAATTGATTTCACATTCAAGCTGTTCGTATGTATCACCTTGTAAATTTTATCTATTGAATGTTAACTATTTGTAACAGTCAAGCTTTTTACTGTCCAGTAAAATATTGAAAAATCTTTTCCAACCTGGTCATCTCATGTTGATCTCCTTCCTCTTCTTCTTCTTCTTTTTTCACTTTCATTTTATTTTTTCTATAGAAAAACAATTTTACTTAAAACAACGATAGGATCGGTTCTGGTATTTAATTTTCCAGAAAAAATGGGTGAGTTTATTTTGATAACTGGAAAATCAGGCATGACTTGCATGTACAACTGTATACGAGTTAGACCCTGAATCATTAATGCCATCTCCTCTTTTCCTACCCTAATCCCTGTTTTGACGGCATTGTTCAAGAGTATGCACAGCTAACCGGGGCAGCAAATTGGGCAGCAATTTTGAATGTCAACGATAAGAGATATCGAAGGCCTTCGTCCAGGGCCACCCAGAAAGGTCCCGAGCACAAAATCAGTGACGCCATTACCTTTTCAAATAAATAATAACTGTTAATGCGATTATCATTACAAGTAAAATTCCTCCACTAACACCACAACCTAAGATGATATACATATTTTGTTTGGTTACATCTCGTTTGGAAGATCTCTTTTCTGTTCCACTTCGTGCCATAACCGTTGTTGTTGAGCGTGATGGCGAGGATATACTGGGCCTGGAAGGATGAATTTCGTGTGAGGGAAATAGGGGAACCAAAGCAGAAGTAGCCGTCACATTCAACGACGACGAAGTTTGAGAGAACATTCTTTGCTCTTCTGTTGGTTTTGTTGATGGTGTAGGCTGTGTTGTTGGACGATAGATGGGTTCTAAAGAGAAATGAAGAAGTGTTATATAATCGCTTTTCCTAAAATCCTTCCCTTTCTAGTCTTAAGATGGCTTTCTCTCAATTCACCCACAACTTAATTCCCTTCTATTAATCACTCGTGTACACATTATTTGAATCATTGTCATTTTGAAAAGAAATACAATCAAGAAATCGTTGAACATAGATATTCAACCAGTGGTAGGCTACATACACTAGTCAGGGTGGAAGATAGAAAAAACACAAAGTGCAATTGCCAACAAGGATAGAGGATAACTTTTAAACAAATATTAGGACAATGGTTTATGCATAATTTTATATATGACCGTAGTATTTACTTTAAATTTGTGCATGATTGCATGTTATGAATGGCCATTGCGCATGACAGGTTACGGTGAACCTACGCGCAGGATATAAACCTCTCGCTTGCAGAAATACATTTATTTTTAGTCTTTGATGATGGACGCGTATATTCTGAAAGCTTGGTATTTAATTTAGTTATTTAATAAATTATTGAAGGTATAGAAGAAGCATGAAGAAAAACAAATAATTTATAAATGTTATGATCAAAAACTAAAGGAAACAATGAATCTTATACCGAAAGGGTCTGGATTACTGGTTAAACGAGAATGAGTCACGGGACGAAAAATTAACTTTGCACTAAATTTGCAATAGTTGCAAACTTAGTGCAAATTTAGTAGTTCGAATTCGCAATGACTGGGAATTCATCTTTGCACCTAAATCAATTCTCTTCACATTTGCCCACTTCTTTGCACGCTTGCAAATTTATTACGATATTTGCAACACATTTGCACATACGTGCCAATTTAAAGCAACTTCTTCATGTTCGCTTTGCTTAATTAAACGTCATTTTAGAATTTAAATTAAAATATTTTGACGGCAGGTTTATATTCTTCATGCATGCAGCCGACAACTGGATTTCGAAGACTAATCTTTGATCTTGGGTAACACGCATCTATGAAGTTGTTACAGTATTATGGTCCATCAATGATATATTGAATTTAGCTGAGGGGAAAACACTCCGATAATTTTTGTTTTTGAAATTTTAGAATATTGTCCATCGTTGTTGATCGTTTGGATTAAATTGATACAGGGGTGATAATTTCGGGTATTCATCCATTTGTAGCAAGGAGGAGAAGCCGCTGTGCATTAAGCCAGCTAGAGTACACGAAAACAAGGACTCGCTGTCGTATAAAAGCATGTATGTAATGCAAATTAAACCCTATAGTTAGCAAGCGAGAGTTTGCATGCGAGTTTCATGAATTTTCATGCCCCGGCCAAATTTTGAGCGGGGTATCATCAACCCTTATGTAACAAGAGTTGCAAAAGGGTTGATGACGGTTGACTGGATATTACGCTAACCGATCAAACAAGAAAAACTTTTGTGAACGGCTCTCCGCATCAGCTCTCATCAGCTCAAAGTCGACGAGAGCTGATGAAAGTCATTGAGAATCTAATAAACTCTATTGCAACTCTCATCAACTTAATTCCATTAACCGTGATCATTGTTTGAACGTGGCTTTATATTATAGATAGAATAGCTAAAACGTAGCCCTTCCCTGGTATATGAATTTATAGAGAAAGTGTTTATATATACGAAAATTACTGGCAGTTGATATATTTATCTAAAAAACCTACTAAACTTCAAGAAACTCTACTCTTTTCCGTATTTCTTTTACCTTTGCATGCTTCATGCTGCATGTGAGCCTCATCATAATAACACCAAGAGTAGCCAATAATTCCCCAACTGTATCCTTTCTTTGTACACGAGTAGTAGGTCTTCCCCTTGTAATCAAACGGAAACTTGCAGCATTTGTCACTCTCTGTCTTTTGAACGCAAGTGTCATTATCTAAAAGAAAGGTATTTAGTTGAAAGCTAATATAAATATTCAGAGAATATATATATGCTGATTTTGATCAGAGTAGCCGTTGACGTTCGTTTTCATAGTGCACTCAGCAGTTAGATGCATGCTCATGATTTCCCCTGCCCTATGGGGTAGATACTTCATTTCAGTGACCCTTATCAGTTTTGGACCGTAATAATTAGAGCTTAGTTTGCTCTGCATAAGTAATGTACCATATAAGTGGTGGAGAGAAGGTGGCAATGTCTTGACATGGCCCATTACCCGGGGTTAGAGGTTAGGGGCGGGGTGGAGTAGGGATCAATCTGACACACTACAGTAGGGATCACATGAAGTACATATCCCCGATGGCATTTAGGAATGTATTTTTTCGAAAGCAAACAACCATGCATTCGAAGGCGTTTATTTGCCAGATCATACATATATAGAGAGTCCACATAAAAGATTTTCGTTTTGGGCTCCATTTTCGAGATATTGTCTTTGTTTGCATGATATATTGGCAGAAACGAAGGCAAAAACATGCACCACCTCGAGCTCCTCAGCTATCACATCTATCTTGTCTGAAAATGTTATATACTGTACTCATTTATCGATAAATGATACTCACTGATCGATCACCATACTCATTGCCATAATTCTATGATTTCTAGTTAATGACAATTTTTCTATTATTGAATACTTACTAAATAAATTAAGTTTTCCTTATTGACAGTTTGACCTTCTCGTCTCTAAAAGAGGTACGTTGGTCTGTCTTGTACAGGACCACTTGTACAGGAATATTGTATTTGATTATTGTATTGGAATAGTGATATAGTGTACTATATACTCTATATACCATAGTCATTTCGAACTGATGTGCAAATGAATGTACCTGTGCAATTTGAACTGATGTGCAATTATACGAACAAATGTGTGATTGAAATTAGAAATGCTTATGATCTGGTTCTTTTCCAAACCAAATTTATAGATAGCTCAAGTCGTCGCTTTGATATTTTGATTGTCGTCGTGCGGTCTCTTCTGGGAGTGATTTCCAAAATAATTGTGTTGCTACCAGGTAAGGCTGCATCCAGTAGTGAAGTTACGCTCATAATTGTTCTCGCCCTAATTTCACAGGAAACTTTTTTTTTATTTAAACATATTTTGTTACAGACATTTTCTCCAAGAGCATCGCTCATCAAGTTGAGAATGGGATTAAGGAAGTGTTTTTTTTCCAAAGCAAACAACCAATTTAAAACAATAAATTTTTGTAATGCATGCCTGCAATCGCACAACTCGCTAAAAGTTTCTGTGATCACACTATCACAGTGGGAATTTTGCATAGGTAAATTCTATATGTTTTGAAGGAATTGTAAGAAATATTTGAAGGACTCAAACAGTGTTTTACAAAATCCTTCAAAACTTAGAATTTACCTATGCAAAATTCCTACTGTAATCACAGAAACTTTGATAGTGTAAACCAGCCTTTACCAAAGATGTGAGGGACAAATTCCAGAAAAAATATAGCTCCGAAATACAATTATAGGTGACCCCAAGTGACCCCTCGTTTCGTTTCTGAAACGACTTCCGCTCTCTTGAGTTCCATAGTACAAAGTCTATTATATATATATTTTTATGCAAAATATCCTGGCTCGAGATATTTCCAGAAGCGTGCTCTACCACGATGCTGGCAAAGAGACAATATATTATCCGACGATTTTGATACATTCGCTAAATTCTAAAACCCGACTGATTGATATTGTATTGGTTAGATAACATTTGTGCAATGAATGACAATACATCTTATTTGCTTTAATTAATCATGTTGAAACAACCCATGAATTATACCACCGAGTCTTTATTTTGTCGATGTGCTAGACAGATCTCAGCTTGGATTTTATCAAACGTGCGTATAGTTAATTCTTTAAAGCAGGAAGTAAAAATCATGCAAGATGTGCAGCAGGCTAAATATCGCATAACAACAACAACGAATAAAAAAACAAACAAAAAAAAACAACCCAAAAAAACAACTATATACCCCTTCGTAAAAATTGTACCACATGTTCGTAGAAACTAGAATTTTTATCGTATTCGTATATAACCTAGCTATAATTATGCTGAATATGTTTTTTGTTTAAAGGCTAATAATATAGCCTATACAGATAGATACTTACGTAATCTGGGTCGACATTGATCATTGACCTTTTTTGTTTAATAGCCATTAGCCGTGTCCGATATTTAACATATTTTATAAGTTCAGTATATAATTATAAGACAGTTGACAGATATAGTCCCCTATCAAGTCATCAAAATTGAAATACATACATGGCCATACATTGAGCCGGGCAATATGTTGGGCATAATCATTGGAATTGGAAATTTTTGTAAGTAAACTAAATTGTCGATAAACTAATATCTATAGACCTTAAGTTGGTACCGTTTATTCTTGAAAGATATAAACTGATTATGTCAAAAAATCACAGAATAATTTGCTAATTAAAACATCTAATCTGTACAATTACCCACTGGTACAGTAATTGATAGTTCAATGACAGTATTTGGGTATTAAGAACAAGCTTATTACTGAATCCAAATAGATTATATTGTTTATCCAGATATTTCAATTTCGATCTCAACTGGCCTTACTTAATTAATATATGTACTGTACTTTTTTCATAAACTTGCCCTTACCTTTAGAACTATTTGACCATACTGAACCGACAAAAGCATTCAAACAGATGAAGACTACCAAATACTCGTGCAGAAACATTCTTGAGTCCTCAGATTTGCACTGGGAAATATTTGTTTCGAGTTAGGTGCTGTTCAAACACTTGGCACGGTTGGTGATTTTCATGCTGACTTGGAATAAAATAGTAAATATATAATCAGCTTCCTGTCCCATGCTGAGGAAACCTAATTGGGAGTATGCAATATCAGGATTGCATGCTGCACAAATGAATGCCAAGTGCTGTAATAGGCTGACAATGCATAAGAATGAAAATAAAAGCGCATTTTCTAATATACATATTTTATGGTTTGTATCTCACCTAATATCTATTAAGCGGTGTACCACATGATTCGCCAGGCCGCAGGGTCGATTCCTGCCAGAGAGACTTTATAGTTGCATTTTTTGCAACTGCTCCAATGTGCCTTTCTATTTCAATATAGACTCAGCGATTTAAAATTATATAAAGCGTCGATCTGATCTTGTTAATAGTCATTCCCGAAGTCTATTATATATTTTGTCTTTTCTTTTGGCGCCCATGCATAGCCTGTTTGGTAAAAATATATCGTAATTAATTAGCCTTCGTATGCCTGGTCTCCTCGCTATAGTTCAAATCGCACATATTGCGTCATTACAAATCAATTTAACATGGCGCAGCTTCGGATCCCACTCTCCTACGCAGAGACGTGTTAAACATGAACTAGGGTGTTATATTATGATCGTGACTAAAAGGGATGAACGAGAGACAGGTTTTCAAGATGGCCGTCAGTTTTTAAGATCATTAAAATGTAAAAGAATCAATAACCAGCCATTTGCAACAATACTAAACCTTACCCTCGCCCCACACCTAACTCTAATTCTAACCCTTACAAAGCCTATTTTAACTTTGGAACCATTTCGTAAACTACTTTTCGCGTCCATCCCTTTTAGACATTACCCTTATATTATAGTTTAACACGCGGATTATATACCCGCAGATTTTGAGGCATGCAGATAAGTTCCCCAGTGTGCTGCCCCGCGTTTATTTCATAAGAAAGTTACAGAAAACCTCAGTCTGCGGAGAAGAGTGTTTCCAGACCTCTCAACTTTGCAGAGAAGTTAAGAGTGAGATTGGGGATGTGGATGACACCTTTGTAAAAGTCCGGGGGTCTGAAATGGCATTTCGTTAGAGTTGGTGTTTTTTAATGAAATACATTGCTTCATAACGTCCTTTATTGAGACAAGGCACTTTAGTTACAATAACTGTATTTCTGTGACATACAGTAATGAGTTTTAATTTGTCTTTGATAATTTACATATAGAATTCTGCTCCGACTGATTCTGCCTTTTGTCCGCCGTATTTACATATGCGTACTATTTTGTATCCATGCAAATTGCGGGCAAAAGCCAAAATGTCGGGCCGTATATGCAGGAACCATAACACGCGATTATATATTCGATTCGCGATCAGTATAATGATTAATAATGTGCATTTATTAAGAAATACAATATTATATTATTGAAAAAATACTATGAAAGTGCTATATGCGTGAGATTAACTAATCGTGGCGTGAGAGCGTGAGAGTGAAGCGAATTGCGTGAGACTCACGCCGAATGCGTGAGAGTTGAGAGATCTGTGTTTCGATTCCTAAATCTGGATCTTCATCAGTGCAGATATTTAAGTACTTTACCAAAAATGAACGTACGTAGTGTTTAACAAAACAACGTCTAGACGTATATACAACCTACAAGGAACTTGTGACATATCGATTGCCTGTTTTGTTTAATTTGGAAGAAGGCTTCAAAGCAATATTAATTAATAAAGTGTGTAGTCATGCTGATCTTATATATGCTGATCTTATATTGATCATGCGACTATACTGTATGTTGCACTTTCTAGAAGGATTAGCAGTGAAAATAGATTATTATTTGCTTCCGTTCCGATATATTCATAATTATAAATGTTGGCAAATACGGCTACTACTAAAAAGCGACACAGTAACACGACGATACAGCGATACAGGAACTGGAACCTGGAACCGCGCATAATTTATGCAATAATTAGTGCGATGATATTTTTAGGGGGAGATTTTCAAAACGATATATACCTTGATTAATTAAAAACACAAAAATAAAACGGAATTCGAGCCGTATAGTATACGGTTAGCAGCTAGCGTTGTTTAGTAAATTCTTTATTTTATAAATACCACATTAAAATGTGTTCTTTCAACGCGATTAGGCGTTGCGTGGTCTTGTAGAATTAATAGAGAGTTTGGCAACCAACAACAGCAACGGCAGGAAACAAAATTACTTATATTTTGGTATGCATGCCAAAGCATACATTATTAAACTTTATTGGCTTTTATTAACTTTATTTAAGCACTTACCTTTCTTTACAAAAACCTTTATGTATAGCAATAGTCAGAGAATTCAACATAAGACACCCCACACACGACTTCGAACGTTTTACTGAACTGTTGTCGTGGTCATGAGCCGTGAAAATGATGTAAATAACGTAGCAGTTTGAACAACTATGGCGTACTAGAATGTTCAAAGGAATACAATTTATAGTCGCCTTTATCTTAGAGTAAGAATGTAAGAATGTGATTGTTTATGATCACCTCTTCATTGACGTTAAATACAGAGGTTAAATACGCTGCGTAATATTTAATAACAGTCATAGTATTCATCGTTAAACATTTGGGTATGGCAAGATTTAAAATGAAATGAACTAACCGGCTGCAGTAGTCATATGGTTAAATTTTTGCGTTTTATGGTATTCTCAGACCTCTCTGAAAAAATCCCACGGTCATTAAGTGCGATAATTTGCATAAATTATGACAGGTTCCGGTTCCAGCTCGAGGTTCCAGTTCCTGTATCGCTGTATCGCTTTTTAGCAGTAGCCCCCCAAGTAGGTACTGTAGTCAAAAATGACCCCTAGCTAGTTGATGTTTCTTTTGAGAAAGCCGAAACAATCTATCTGGGAGAGCATACGTATTCACGTGTCAGTTCACAAGAACCCTGCACAATTTGCTTTATCGTAGCGTTGCCGATCTTGTCTAAAAGTACGGTACACACGAGTGACCACGAGTGACCACGAATGACCACGAATGACCACGAGTGACCACGAGTGATTTCTGTGTTTAATAGTCATATTCCTTTGGGCCTGCACGCGGGCTAGGTCATTCGTGGTCACTCGTGGTCACTCGTGGTCATTCGTGGTCACTCGTGGTCACTCGTGGTCATTCGTGGTCACTCGTGGTCATTCGTGGTCACTCGTGTGTACTTTTAGACAAGATCCTTTGGGTTGAATAATCAAGTCTCTACGATGATGCCCATCCTGTGTACTGGCAGCCAAACTTAAGAGGCGAAGCACAGGAAACCCGAAAATGCGCCTTACCCTACACCTCAAGTCCATCAAATTTGCTAGCTGAATAAAAATAGTCCATATTCCATAAGAATTCTAGATCAACAAGCAGTGGCGTAACGCAACCGCTGGGGGCCCTCCGTCAATCGGCCACTTTGGGCCCCTTTGCTCCACTAAAAATAGGCTTCAAAAATTTTTCTCGGAACAATCTATTTTTGGCGACCCCCCCCCCGTCGCCAAAAAATTTTCGGACATTGTACCATTTTAGGGGTCCAAAATTTTTTCCGGACATACCCAATGAAATTGCAATTAATTCATTCTAGTATCTCGTCCTTTACCTCAGCCGCGACGTACTTAATCCGTCGCAGCTTCGGGAAATTTCTCGACGGATTTTGCCTTTTCCAGAGAATGGGTTTTTTTGCCAATGTTATCAATGAGGCATTCCTTGCCCCTATGAGTCATTTTACACCTTTACAAACCGAAGAATTTGTACCAAACAGCCCAGTGTTCGAATGCTGCTGCCTCCAAGTGTTCGAGTTTTCTGTTAACAAGAAACTGTCCACGTTAAATCCAACTAAAGCAAGCGGACCCGACGGTATACCGAGTTGGCTCTTAAAAGACAATGCCGACATATTTGCTGCGCCAGTATCAAATATATTAAACCGTTCCTTTTTGGAAGCTCGACTCCCATCATCGTGGAAATTGGCCAATATTTCACCAATCCCAAAACAAAAGCAAATTCTTGACGTAAATAGCCATCTTCGTCCTATATCTTTGACATCTATCCTCTCGAAAGTTGCGGAAGACTTTGTCGTAGAAGAATTTGTAAAGCCTGCAGTTCTGAAGAAGGTGGATCCAAATCAATTTGGGACGATACCTGGTAGTAACACCACCCAGGCCCTGATCAGCATGCTGCATTCGTGGAATAAAGCAACTGACGGTAGTGGCGCAACTGTCAGGACAGTATTAGTTGACTTTAAGAAAGCTTTCGACTTGATCGATCACCATATACTTGTAGACAAACTAAAATCGTATGATATTCCTGAAAGCATTGTTTTGTGGGTTATTGACTTTCTTACTTGTCGCAAACAACGTGTCAAACTTGGTAACGACTGCTATTCTGAATGGGGAACTATTCCATCTGGGGTTCCCCAGGGTACCAAACTCGGGCCGTGGTTATTCGTTATCATGATAAATGATTTGAAAATCCAAGATTCGGAACTCTGGAAATACGTCGATGACACAACGATGTCTGAAATTGTTGAAAGAAACAACGAATCCAACATACAGGAGAAAGTTGATGAACTTACACGACATATTTCTATTGATAAACTTACGTTAAACGAGTCCAAGTGTAAAGAGTTACGTATTAGCTTCAGTAAATCTCCTCCCAATTTCGATCCTATTACCATCAACAATAAGCAACTGGAGGTCGTTGAAAGTGTAAAACTCCTTGGCATGCAGATATCTAACGATCTTAAGTGGAATAGCCATATCTGTTATTATGAAGAAAGCGAATAAGCGTTTGTATTTTCTGAGCCAACTAAAACGTTCGAACGTGGGCAGTAAGGAACTTATTACCTTTTACTGTACTTGTATATAAGACCTGTTACAGAGTATGGCTGCCCAGTATTTCACGATAGCCTGCCAAATTACCTTGTTAAAGACATCGAAAGAATACAGAAACGCGCGATGCGGATAATATTTCCAGCCTTATCATATGACGAATCTCTCTCCGTTGCTGAGTTGGTCCCTCTAGAAGCATGAAGACAGCAACTAACAGACAAACTATTCCAGCAAATTATTAGCGACCCAAGTCACAAATTGAACAAACTTTTACCACCTGTAAACGAATGCCAAATTAAGCTTAGGAAGAAACGACTTTTTAAAAATCAGCTTTTTAAAACAGACCGATTTAGGAATAGTTTCATAACTCACAATGCACTGAAAATGCGCACCTAGTTATAGTAGTAGACAATTATAGTCAACTTATACGCACATTGCCATTTGGCTCCAAACTTTTAAAATTTTTAATAGTTATTCTAATTTTAAACTATATGTAATTCTTAGCGTAATTCAGCTTTTGGCTGCAATGCTTTGCAAATAAACCATCTATCTATCTATCTATCTATCTATCTAACCTAATCTCTCACGGGCCAATCAGACGTCGTCATTCACAAGATATCTATTTCACGACGTCAGGAATGTAGTTTTATTTTGGAAAAGTTTGACACGAAAACATGAACTTTCAGCCGATAGGAAGCAACGGTAATAAGAAATTGTTCAAAGTGCTTAAGAAATTTTCAGTGTTAAGATTTTCTTGATAGAGTTTTTTTGTGTTAATTCCAATTCTGAAAAGCGATTTTTAAATTTTCGTGTAGCTTTGTTTTTATCGGCTATCAAAGTCGCGAAATTAAACGCTCCAGATGCAAAAATCAGTGTAGGCTATGACGACGTCATAACGATGTTTCTTGCTGGATCGCCATGCATGCGGTTTGTAAACATGGCGTCGACTTCGGCTGGTTCTTTGCGTAAACACGGAAGTAGATCTTGGCAGTTCACACGTTCAGGGTATGGCTGTGTCATCGATACCGTCACGTGTGGCAATTATAGCGGCTGTATATTCTTCGCATGGACTACCACCTTGAAACGCCAAATTAACAACATTTTTTCGACTTTTTCAACAAACTTGGTATCAGAATGATCAGAAAAGATTCAGAAGCACTTTAGAAAGGTTTTGGTGGCGAATATTTAATTCCAATAAGAGAAAGATCGGAGTAGTAATATTTTTTGACGATTTACCTGGAGGTTTTACCATAGTTTTAACACTGCTACTCCATTCTGTTGAATAATACGAGTCCTATTGAAAAGACAACAGTGATGGTTACTAGCGATGTTTTTGTTCGCTATAATTATATTTGTTTTAAGTAGATAAATGCAATCCCTGTTTGCTTCTGAAAACACATAAATTCATGAATAAAGCAATACCGAATGTAGACTTTCCAAAGTCCTTTCCAGACCCTTCTATGGCAGTCTATACCGCCGAATGGTTTTCCGTGCAGGATTGCGTGATCCATGCACGAGGGATGTCGAGAGACTTTCGGAAAGCGTAAAAATACTCGAGCAACATCCCAAGTGCATGGATCACGCTATCCTGCTTGGAAAACCATTTGGCAATTGTTTTATGAAATAACTACAGTGAGACAATGACATTTTGAGAATCCCGCGAAAATCCCGCGAAGGCATTTTAATTCCTCGTGCAGGATAGCCTGATCCTGCACGGCTATTGACCAATCAAATTTCGTGTTTCATACTTATTATGTAATTTAATTTGATTAGCTCCATTATTCAGCTTGTACTCACGTTGCTTTCAAAAAATCTCAGGAACACGATATAACTTGAATTCTGTTTCAGAGGTTGGTTGAAGTATTTTTGTTTTTCAGAATTATACTCCTTGCCATCACCGATCACGAATGTCAAAGGTAGAACATCAGCTTTCAAATAAGCGGTGACATAGAGATCTTGTATGTTTTCCTGGAAAGGTCCCAGGTTGTTTGTTTGAAAATTAGCGCTGGGTATTGAACTGCCGGCTGTTGCATTGTGAACTATGACCATCACTCCTCTAAATCATTAAGCATCGCACCATAGAAGCAAAACAAAGTGCTATTATTAGAGGTAATCATACATTTTATAGTAGCATGAAATGAGGAATTAGTTGTCAAATGAGAATGCAGGGGTAGTACATTTTAGATGCCAGTCGAGATGTAGAGCGCAGTGACGATGGCGTTGGGGACTCTCATTTAATAATATCGTTACGTCGCAATGTGAACTCATGTAATTACTGTAAATCACAGATCGCTCCGTAATAAAATTACAAAAACGAAGAGAAGGAAATTAATTCGAAATTATTTCTTTGGAGAGATTCGAATTCAATGATTGAATAAGGTTAAGAGTCTACATCTCGGAACCGAGGTAAAGCTGCTAAATGAGTGAGTCAAGAGCTAGGAGCCAAGGAGAGATCGCTGACATATCATGTTGCCGAAATTTGTTTTACCATTTCTTTCCCAGGGAAAAATTTGCCTAGAAAAAATTCTGGTCGATCGTTCCTCATGTTAAATATCGCATGCCAATAATGACAGAATCACCCCTCGAATTTCTACACGATGTACTCGAAGGAGATGTTATATTTTGGCCACGTAGAAACTTACTTGATATATTCTGCTGGTTTGGGTATGTTTAAGCTCAGAGTATAATAGGACGTTGCGAATGGATTTATTGGCTCTAAGAATAAAAAATTCAGCAGTTAATACATTAATTGCAGTGGTTGCCAACTAAACAGCCTGTGAGGTCAATGTACGGAGTAAAATATCCGCCAAGACTGTGGCAAACACTACTGCATATATAGGAGGGGCCAGAGGGAGCATGTAACTGCTCCCCCATAATTTCCTAACTTTTTTAAATAGTAACCGAATAACTGCGTAACAGAGCTTTTACAATAACTATGAAAGCATTGGTAGGTTATTTATTAAGAAAACTTGCATGCATAGATCGTTTCGAAAAATAGTTGTCATTCTTTTTTCTTCCAAAAATAATTTCAACCAAGGTAGTCACTGCCGCCTTATAGAATACTTCAAGACTAACAGTTTTACAAAGTATGAATGTAATACTTTGTATATTGTCTTTGAGAAATTAAATGTTAAAAATACTGAAGTTTATCGTAGATTTAGTTTGGTGTTTTTGCACATTTCCAAGGGCTACAATTTCGCTTCCAAATAACAATCTGGTAGTGCATAAAGTAGAACATAATGCAAAATTGTGGGGGATAGTTTTCGAATCGGTCAATGGGGAAAAAAGTTTAAAGAAACGCAATTTGCAGCAACAAAAGAGAGGCAATAACTAATATCGCAACCCAAATCCCCCTCCCCCGAAACAAAATTGGGCTACTGTGGCAAGACATAGAGTTGTAGATATAAACGTCGGTTTAGGCAAAACTTCAAAAGGGTTGTCGCAACTTGCTTGACTGTTTTTCCACCACTGTTACGACACAATCGGAACTCGATGATTCACAGTACTACATGCAGACAGCTTTCTAGAAAAACGCTCCGCCGATATCTCACATTTATAGATCCGAAGCGAGGGGGATTCACGGAAATATTTCCTGAAGGGCTACATACCTTTATGAATACAAGCAATGTCTTATATCAGTTTATGTAATATATGAACAACGAGAGCGAGTGTTTCACCGGGATATCCAAACAAGAGAAAACAATGTATGAAAACACATTGTTTTCTCGTGTTTGGATATCCCGGTGAGACACGAGCTCGAGTTGTTTATATGGCTTCTCAAATGAATCGAGACGTAACAGAATGTTTTCGTTTGCTGATTTGAGTAGAATTCTTACCCAAGCATAACGTAATTAGGAATTCTATTCAAGTAATTTTGCATGCGTAATTAAGATATTTGATGAAAACACTAGTGACTTTCATCAAATATCTTAATTACGTATGCAGCTAAACTTTTGTGGTGCTGTGTCTGACGGTGTTTGGTCGCCCAAAAAAATTTCATGTAAAAAAAAAATTTCAGGTAAATTTCGAACTTTTGATCTATAGAGGTGCCCTTTGGTGTGCGTCTGCCTCCCTTTGCCTTTTTATCGTTCCGGCGTCCCTGCTATTGGTTTAATTACTCTTGAATCATTAATGAATTTGAGAAATATTCATGCACGCAAGTCTTTATCGCTTTTCCTTTATATTATTCTAGTGTGCTATCCTCTGGAATATTCAAGCACAAACACAACATTGTTCGAACACAACATTGTTCATAAATTTCTTTGACGCTCAAAAACTCATCACTCTTTAGTCTTCATTTTGTCTGCTACCTTATATGCGTGCTTGCCACGCGTGGTTTTCGCGAATGCGATATGATTAAATTACCCGTGCATGTGATATGATTGAAATCACCCGCTGTATCAAATACGATCACGTAGCGCATGATTTGATGATAAATATCATATTCACGTGGCAGAAACCTACCTTGAGGTATAATATTATGCTAGTTTGTTTACCTCCGTTTGTTATTTGACTGATTTCCAAACTCTTGTTTCCATAACCAACTTTTGTGCCAGCTGAAACAGTCACAAAGTACTCTGTGGAAGAGTGCAGATTATAAATGGTATACAAGAATGCAGTAGCTCTTGAGCATTTCGGATTTTTATCACTTTCCAGGGTTGAATAGCAAACTTGATATCCCGTCAATTCACCATGCCATAAACGTTTATCGGGAGTTTTCCAAGATACTTTGAGTGAGTTTTTACCGCGGGATTCAAAATTCACATCCAATGGAGGTCCACTAGGTACTTAAATTAATAAAAAACAGGCTTAAATATCTATATTTGATTTATATCATATTCCAAGTCTATCCCATTCCAATCGTGTTGTGTTTTATTTTGGAACAATTTACCCAAGTATTGTAAAGATATAACAAGTTTAATAGATATAAATTGATTAACTTATTAATAAACAAAAAACTTGAGACTGATTGTCTGATTACACTCTTCCAGGTGAAATTTAACTTTTCTTAATGTTTTAAATTTGTATGTAGCTAATGGTATAATAGTTAGCAGGTATAGATGTCAATTGGGACTTATAGTTCTGTTTATATACCCCCTGTCGCATAAGTGGTAGGAGTAGTATACAAAAGAGGGGTTCTGGAACGGGTGGAGTACTTCGCGGGAGCCATCGGTAAAAAAGGGATGCCGCGGCGTGCTGATTGACCGAGTCTGACGACCGTGACTCACGGTGTGACTAACGCGTGATTCACGCTTCCTTAAACATAAGGATGCCACTGCGCGCTGATTGGTCGAGCGTAACTGACAGCCGGTGTGACTCGCGCCTAACTCGCTCATTGCAAACGGAGTGAAATATGATAACATGGGGAATTTAGCGGTTCCTATAGAGCGAAACCGCGGGCATTACATAAACACACAGATATCTACTATTTCGAGTATTTTATTTTGTTTTTTAAAACATATACACAAATTTAGCAAGATTTGTTTCGCTGGACCCGGTGTAAATTACAAAACAAAGGAACCCATTCCATTAGCACAGAAAAATTACAAAATTCCTCTTACACTACTATCCGGATAAAAAAGGAAAATATTAAAATCCAAAAACAAGGGTTGTTATTTCTTTGGCTATTCAGGCCTTCTTGTCTCAGTCACAAAGTCTCAGTGCTTTCACCTTTCGGAATTCAGATTTACAATTTTCTCCGTCAGTGTAGCTAGTAATTTTCATGCTGTAAATTGTAATTTCCTAATAATTAAACATATTTTGCACACGATGGTCTTTTCCCGAGTTATATATAGTCATGTTTTGGCAAATATCGTATGGTCAATATAGGCGATATTCTCGTTCTTGGCTTGCCGCCATTTTGAAAAACTCTTTATAGATGATTATCGCGTTCTAATCACCTCATCAGCAACCATGCAATCAGCGTGGAGAATTTTCAATAATCACCTATGTAATTATACTAATGACGAATGTTGTCAGTTGACGATGTCGTCAGATGAAATTGACAGCGTATTATTCAAATATCGTTTAATTAAAGCTGAATCGGCCTTATTAATCGCTGTGTGTAAACCATGGTGTAAACGTACCTTAAAGGGCGGTAAATTAATAGCAACAAATTAATCGCTTCGAAAAACGCTTTGTTATGGTTATGCCGATATATATTGCACTAAACTCTGCGTCAAAACGCAAACATGTCTACGTCGCACATGGCGCAGCGTTCTATACCTGTCGTTAGTAAACTAGACCTTAGGAGACTATCTTAGCTTCTATGCTTACCAGCTTCTTCGGTCTTGAAACTTTCGTACGCTATTACGCTCCTGTGTGAGGAACCATCTTGTGCCTGTACTCCAACAACATAATCAGTGTACGATGTAAGTCCAAAAATAATGTAATGTATTCCATATTTCTCTCGGGAAATTCGCTGCAACTGTATGCCGTTGAGATAAATGATAAAATGTGTGATATAACTGGATTGTCGGGGTCCTAGTATTGTCCATGAGAGATCGACAGAGAAATTTGATGATTTTGTAGTAATGTTCTCCACAGGCGCTGGCAATTGAACTAAAAACGAACAATGAAATCAATTTAACTGCATTAAACTTTGAAACGATAGAAAAAATTCCATATCTAAAAATGGAGAAAATTAATTAATTAACTTTTTTCCGACAATATCCTCTTAATGTGGCTCAATACAGTTTTTTAAAAATGCGGAAAATTTGCGATTTAGATGCGACAAAAAGCATCTAGCTTATGTAAAACAGCATTCAAAGAGTTTGAATTTTTGAACAAAATTTACGCAACTGCCGTTCCTATAGCAACAATGACGTTTCAATATGGCGGAAATTCTGACTTTAAAGTAATTTAACTCGAAAACGACATCGGTGACCCCCAAATTTTATTTCAAAAAATAGTTTGTGTTAGTATATTGAATTACGTTGGTTGACCCGACATTTTTAAAATTACGTAAAGGTGATTATTCATAATAATTTTTTTTGGCTCCACAGAATTTTTAAAATTGTCAAAATAATTGATCATACTAAATGAAATCATTTTTTAAAATAAAATTTGGGGGTCACCAATGTCGTTTACGATTTAAATTACTTTAATGCCAAAATATCCGCCATCTTGAAACGTCATTAGGGAACTTTAGATTCGCTACGGCTACGAAATCTAGTACGACTACCGGACTACGAGACTTTTTCCATTAAATATCAGCTACTAAAAACTTATAATAGTACGTGGTTTGGCGCAACTGTTGCTATAAAGATGTGGTATGCAAAGGAAAGACGATAGAAAGTCTGTAGTAGCAGATATTTAACGGAAAATATCTCGTAGGCGTACCAGATTTCGTAGCCGTAGCGAATCTAAAGCTCCCTATTGTTGCCATAGCAACGGCAGTTGCGTAACATATGTGCAAAAATTCAAACTCTTTACTATGTTGTTTTATATAAGTAATGTACTTTTTGTTTATCATTTTTTTAAAAACTGTATTGAGTCAAATCTGCCATTTATACTCAAATTTCAGTCCAATCTGCCATTTATACTCAAATTTCAGTGTGGTGAATTCTGAATTTCCGAGGTGAGAGTTTCACCCAACAACAGATTCTGCCTCAGATATTTTATTTATCTTACAGTGTCATTTAAATTTGTCTGTGATCAGCCAAAGGCGCAATAAAGGCACAATTTACCTACTGTGGCGGTTATGGCAAACTGACAGTAAAATCCTACCTTCTCCACACAGTTCTGTTCTAAGACAAAATTCTGTCTTCCTTGTTGACTCTATTTTCAAATATCTCACATTGTAAATATCGACAATGGTTACAGATGCTTGGTAACCATTCTGATTTCCTTTTATCTAAAAAATAAAGAACAGAGTAGAAAGAAAATTTCAATTCATATTATATGGTCCTTTCCATTGCCGAAGAAGTGAAGAACTCAAAACTCATGAGCAAACCACGTGTTATTGGACCATAATAAAAGATGGAGATAGATAGATAAATAGATCGTTTTAATAGAATTGCCTTGCAACCAGCAGGTTGAATTACACAATTTTACAATAATTAGTTAGGTGTATAAAACATTACTCAACTGCATGCATAATTTACAAATTTAAAAAAGTTAAAAATTTCAGTGTAAATTAGAATACGATTAATTGCTAAGCTTAAAAATGTTGGCAGGGATAAAAGATATATTAAGTATTAAGGTTTGGGGTTTGTTCCGCTGCAGGTTAAGCCTGTGCATAGGCGGCGGAACGGGGGGGTATAGCCAATAGCCCTCCCCCAAAAAATAACAAAGACCCGATGAGATTCAAAATTTGGGCAAATTTTGAGAAGAAAAGGAGGTGTGCCAATGGCACTGACATGTAATGGCTAGTAATGGCTGAATGGCACTGACATGTATATTTAAGTGTGGAATGCGTCCTGTTTCTATTCATACCTGAATTGCACTGCTACCATCTATCAAAGTTTTGTTATGACTGAACTTCAATGAATATGAATCACTCCACGTTGTCTGATTTTCATTTCCCATAACCACAATCTGTGCTATATGATATTCTTTTTGAAGATCAAGCAAAATGTAGTTGTTTCCAGATCCTGCAGCACACCATCCATTTCCGGAAAACCTTGCATCTTTAAAATTACTAGAGCCACTACCAGAAAACACCGAATCTGGAAACGTGGTAACATTTTGTAGCAACGGGTTGTCACATATCTTACCTACAGTGAAAATAAGAAAGTACAGTTATTTGGTTACTTGAGAGAGTGGCAAGGCCTGTTCATGTTTCTCTTGATGTTATCAAAACTAGGAAACATTTCAACATTTTAATGTTTTCTAAAAACTTTGCTGCGAGACAGGCTTCATTAAAAATTGTATTGTACAAAAGCACCTTTACACACGTGTAAACCATACTCACATATTGCATACGGCAAGTTAACAATTGATGTAGTTGTATTGCGTTGAAGATTGACACAACAAGATGTCCCATTTGGCTGTGTGTTATAACATATCAAGTCCCCAGTTGCAATATTTTCTCCACTTCCAACATTGCGGGTACCAATGTTATGGTCATCAGTCTCGCTAAATCCCAAATGCCGACACAGCATTTTATGGCGAATTATATCCCAATTTTCTTCATCAACTTTTCTCCATGTTGAACCATCTTTTATTTCGATGAAACCTTTGGTTGGTGACTCTGAAAATCTAACGTTAGGTCCTAAGAGAAAGCAAAATGGTACTTAATATATCAAAGTAAAATTTGACTACACAGAGCAGATTCCTAGTGACAAAGTTGATTTCCAAATGGCTATACTATAATGACACATTTTGACGTTTTTTTTTGTAAATGACACAAAACTATTTGTTGTCTTAATAAATGAAAGAACTCATAAAACTGTACAGTAAGTTTTATAGATTTTTTCCATGTTTTACTATTGAGATATTTAATTTTCTTCAAAAAAGCAATGCCACGTACTGACAAGAATATTCACCTTTTAAATTTAAACTAATGTAGGTATCCACACAAATGTAGTCGGTGTAAACTTCTTTTGAAATATCAGAACAATATTGTGATGATAGCAAATTATTGTCGATGGTCAGTTCACAAGATCTGCTTCCACCACAGTGAGATTTCAACTGACAGTTGGTTAATATGCTGCATTTCCTATCAATCTCTGCAGTAACATCAAACGTGCCGTTATTATTGAAATCTCCATAATCAGCTTTCTTGAACACCATACGTTGTATAAGAGAACAATGAACGTCTTTCATTTTGGCGTTGAAGGCTGTCACTGATCCTAAAAAAAGTTGATGGAGTAGGATTCTCCAGTTCACTAAAATTAAGGTAAGATCTGCTCTAACTTCCACTGCGTATTATTAGCAATTAGTATTCTGTATAACTGGGTCCGGTTGTACGATAGGTGGATAAGTTATCTCGGTGGTTATAGTCTAATCCAGTCGTTACATCCTCTATCTGCATGTTGGGTGGATATATCCTCTATCTTCTCTACCCGACAATTGTATTGTACAAAGCACCGAAAGTAATTAGACTAGAATATCGGCTATATCTGTCAGATCATTTTGGATCCGGAGATAACCAGATCAGTTGGTGAAATTTTACGTCAGCTGTTTTAGGTATTTGTTATAATGTGAATCCCATACGTCTTCAAATAATGTGCTATAAAGTTGTCCGCGTTGTTTACATTTTTTCCATGCAGCTCCTTTTTTATATCTTTGAAAGTTTTGAATGAAAATTTTAGTTGTCAAAACGTACGATGAACGTACGAAAATAGACAAAATATCTGTGGGAAAACCAAACAAAAGCATATATAGGCAATTAACAGAAATTAGACGCTGAAATTTGTCCGCTCGCTTTGATTTGCCAATCAAACAAAGGAAGTAAATGCTCTTAAAGTTGTTATGAAACGTGTGCATGGTCAAGCAACAAACGTCAAAAGGAATTCGTTGCATGAAAAACAAAATCATGAAATGTGGAAAAGCTAGTGGATAATGCAGAGTTAACCGCTGACCACAAAATACAGTTTGAATTTATTTGAATTTCAATATTAAATTTGCCAATAACGTACATACCATGCATACACACAAATATTACAAATAAATTACTCTAACTAGCAGGGGTTGGATACAGGACTGGTGTCCCAATGGACTAGAAAAGTAGTCGGCCATATTGTTTGTTTTGTTAATATACGAAAACATAGTTGCTTACTGAACAGATTATTGTAAGTGTTCGAACTCTATTAATTGTTGTAAAAACCTTATATATTTGTTTTAGCTTTAATTCGCAATGCTTCTTGCTACTTGTATTTATCATTGCAGAATGGTTTCTTGATCGTTGTTTATTATATGAAATGATTATATCAATATACGTTTTGCAAACAATCGAGAAGACTATATTTATGAAGAAACCATTTTGAGCTAGTGTATTTGTGTGGTCTGACACAAGTACACGGATATAGCAAAGTCTAACCTGCCATCCTGAGAATCCTGATAGCTATTGAATCTTATAGTACCACATAATATTGGTTAAGCAAAAGACAAGCCAGGCAACCATGGTAATTAGAGTAACTTGCTCTGTCCCCAACTGTGATTTCCAGAGACACTTGCCATCGCATAACCATCGCATTATTAGCAAACCACGGATTGGCCCATCAAAGCACGCCAGCAAGCGAGTCGGCACCAGTCCCCTGTGGCCCAAAACGTGACCGGCCAAGGGTAGATATTGGCATAACAACCAAACAATGGAAAATATTTGTTCGTCGCTTGGAGGTATTCCCGCACTGGTTCAGGTATCGATGATACATCAGCACCGTCCCAGCTGTTTCATCGTGCAAGACCTGATTTTGGTGATAGCCTGCTAAAAGCCAACCCAAATGTTGTCTCAAACACCCAACCACATCTGCCACTTTGTGTTCTGCTCGCCGAACTGTTGCAGCAACGTCAGGAGTGCGGCGAGCCATTCCGTGCATTTACAGCAAGGTGCGTGGAAAACCTGAGATATGTGAATTCACCACAACATGTGAGTGCGGAAAGAACATTGGCTACACCGACCATGTCATACGTGATGTTCTCCTCAATGGGATGGGTGACACAGACATCCGTCGCGAAGTGATGGGGATATCCTAAAGCAATCTGTCATCGACGTGATCGCCCTGGTAGAGAGCAAAGAAATGGCGCGTAATGCCCTCCATTCGTCAAGCCTGTTTGTCGTCTCCACATTTAGACGCTAACAAAACCGGGCTCCAGTCTTCCCGGGACACTGAATCCCCATCTCAATAGACCTTTCCCCTTATGAGTGGAATTTTGATCTAGACAAGTCTGGACAAAAATTTCATCACAGCTTGAAAGAACATCACAAAATAAGTAATATTCTGAAGTTTCGTTGCGAAATTTTGTAAAATGCGGATAATATAGCCTTACGAAGTTTGCCGTTTTTCAGTCATTTTGTATTACAAATGGGAAATTGATAATCAGTTAATTTGATCATCTGATTATCAACTTCCCGTTTGTAATGCAAAAGGACTGAAAAACGGTAAACTTCGCAAGGCTATATTATCCGCACTTTACAACATTTCGCAACGAAACTTCGGAAATTTTTGTCCAGGCATATCTAGATCAAGATTTCACTCATAGGGGGAAAGGTCTATTAGATCAGGCGAAAGAAGCGACATGCCCAGATTGTAAAACCTTATTCAAAGTCTTCACAGAGGGGTCGCGGGAATGGAATACCAAACCACATCAAATCTGCATTAAATGTTACAGGGCTCGTCGCCGCGGGAAGCGCCCACCTCGCCAACATCCAGACAACAATTGTACTGTCAATGCCGTGGAAGGCAGGCCCAATTGCTCAAATAGCAGCAGTTCATTCTTGTAAAACCCGCCCCTCTCAACATCCCAGTCGCCGTCATCATAAGCGTACCCCAGCCACATATGATACCACTGCGACACTTGATCATCACATCTTCACAAAAGGTACGTGAATGGAGACGCGCACAGCTGCGTGACCACCCACGAGTCCCCATAACCATCTCCGTTGCCAACCCATACGAACCGATGTAGCAAATGAAATGATAACCCCACTCACACATCGAATGCTCCGAAAGTTTCCTGACTCTGGCGCTCAATCCGACTTGTGATCCTACAAGAGTTCCTCACGACAGGATTCTCACGTGCTGACCTACATCCTGTAACACTCAGCCTGTCCGCAGCGAACCGTTCACCCATCTCGATCGAGGGAGCATTCGTCGCTAAAATCACGGCAAAATCTAATGATGGCCAGGTGACATCGTGCCAATCCATGGTCTACGTCAGCAGCTCTGTTCAGACGATGTACCTGTCCTATGAATCCTTAGGCCCGGTTTAGACGGCGAACTTTTATGCGCTGAATCTAATAGTCAAATAGACCTTTCTTATAAGTATGGCGTCAGCGTGCATAAGCTATTTTGTGACGTCAAACGCGGATAAACACTTCGTCTTCGATTTTCTTGTTTGTTTTGTTTTGAAAGTTTTTCTCCAGGAAAACCCCACAAAAGCGGTAGGTTTTGCTAATTTTATTTATTTAAATCAATTAGTAGGTAAGACGTGATGTTTTCAATGCACTGTAAATTTCAGGGAAATTCAACAGTCGAATTATCCTACATAAGACATACCATACTGCAAATCCTCTGAAAATTGTAAAAAATCGGCTTCTAAGAAGAAAATGGTCATCACAAACTTCATATTCTGGCTGGCTTATTTTCTCTTCAGATGGCACTTCAGCTTTGAATTATTAACATGAGCACAGATTTGTTTAATTAACATCACTGATTTGGGAATACGACGAGCATCGGCCATAAATATGTTGACTTTTTGTTATAATAAATGTTGCATGAACAACTACCAAAATACAAAGAGTTTATAAAATCAGCAGAGAATATGGTCATTTTTTCCTACAAGATATGGAGTGATTGAATTTTACAGTTATTATATAAGATAAAAATAAGATTGAATAATACAGTAATAGTGAATGTTATTACAATATAAATATGAATGTGAACAAATGTTTTTTATAACGTGGAGTGTAGTTAGAGTTGATTGAGGGCTGAAGTGCCGAAATGAGCCAGTCAGAATATGAAGTTTATGAAGGATATTTTTATTTTAGAGGCCGAATTATAACAATTTTCAGAGGATTTGCAGTATGGCATGTCTTATGTAGGATAATTTGACTGTTGACTTCTAATAAAACACAAAAAATAGTTTAAAAATCCGTAAAACAGGGACATAAAATCGAAAATAAAATAGTGAGACAATCTCTCGTCTTAGTATCCATAGCCAACTGCTTTGTTTTTCAGTCACTTTGACAACGTTCAAGAGGGAAATATACACTAAATTTTATCAACATGCATTGAAAACATCATGTCTTACCTACTAATTGATTTAAATAAATAAAATTAGCAAAACCTACCGCTTTTGTGGGGTTTTCCTGGAGAAAAAACTTTCAAAACAAAACAAACAAGAAAATCGAAGACGAAGTGTTTATCCGCGTTTGACGCATTGAACTATAAATAAACTGGAAGGCTAACTGCTATGATGAAGGCCTATGATTTGATGAAGCCAAAATAGTTTTTCTGAGAAATACTTGATCCCAAACGTCGGGCTATATATCAAATTGAAGCTATTGAAAATTGCTATTCGGTGTGGAAATTTCAAGACTTCAGCGAAAAGAAAAATATTTAAAAAATACAAAAACAACTGCAAAACGGCAAATTATCGGTAATTATGTTTGTAGTTTTTCAATATTTCCCTTTTAGCTAAAGTCCTGAAATTTCTACACCAAATAGCGTTTTTCAATAGCTTCAATTTGATATATAACCCAACGTTCAGTGTTGAGTATTTCTGCTCATAACTCAGAAAAACTAAAATGCACTGGCTTCAATTCCCCCCCCCCCTGAGTTAGCCTTCCAGTTTATTTATAGTTCAATGGTTTGACGTCACAAAATAGCTTATGCACGCTGACGCCATAATTATAAGAAAGATCTATTGCCGGAGTGTATCTAAAAGTCGAGGGTCGAGACTCGAGAGTATAGGTCGAGAGTAAAAGTCGAGAGTCGAGAGTAAAAGTCGAGAGTCGAGAGTAAAAGTCGAGAGTAAAAAGTCGAGAGTCGAGAGTAAAAAGTCGAGAGTCGATCGAGAGTAAAAAGTCGAGAGTCAATCGAGAGTAAAAAGTCGAGAGTCGATCGAGAGTAAAAAGTCGAGAGTCGATCGAGAGTAAAAAGTCGAGAGTCGGCAAATGTCATCGGAAACAACAAAGTCAAAATATTTTTAACCACGTTTAACACAATCTATATATAGCTTCACATAGCCATTCCGTAACAAGTACCAACGGCTGAAATACAAACTTTCCAATAAATACTGCTACAACAGTCAATAATAATAACGTGAACAAAAAAGATTGGATAAGAAAATAATATCACATTTGATGCCTCAATCTTGCTAAATATTTTCACTAGTGTCATTTCATTCTAACTGACACATAAACTCCGCTGAATTTTGACAGCCATCTCCAGGTTTGTAACTAAAATTTCACTTATTCATTAACTTACGTTTATATCAAACGAGAGCGTATTACGAAATCCACGTTGATCACAATCTAACGATTCATACAATTGTGAATTCATACTAATACGAGCCAGTAAAAATAGGATTCTTTTGTCGTATGTGTGACTCTGTTGGGTGGTAATATGCCCGCACGTGATTGTAAAGTCCTAGTATTTATATGTAGCTTCACATATAAGTAATTTTTCGCGGAAATAGGTCATGTGAAAGCGGGAAGGATGGACAGTAATATATAAGGAAGCGATAAAACTAGTTATTAGATAATAGTTAATATTATTGAATGTTGTGGCTAAATTTTGGCGAAAGTTTTTGTTTTATATTATACTGGATTATTCCTTTGATTGTATATGCCTCTTGTTTACTTTAATTTCGAGAATTTGAGTATACTAATTACGGTTCGCAAATATTGCTTTATGTTCCGGGCACAGGAAATGAAATTAGTTTAGCTATCATAGGCGTACGGGCGGGAAAAAATCAGAGAGCCAGAAAGAAAATTTACCCGACTTTTACCCATGCACTGAATAAAATTTTCCGTGTAACTAAATTTCAAAAATTGTCGTTGGGAAGTAGACAAAAATATTTTCCTATTTGTCGATTCCTCGTTACCGTTTACATATTTCTGGTATTATACAATTACTTTATGGTTTCCGTGTTTGGATGGCCTGATCCAAACACGCGGGAATGTTGCGAGAGTTAAGAAAAGCGAGCTAAATCACGAGCCGAAGGCGAGTGATTTTGCCCGCTTTTCTTAACTCGAGCAACATTCCCAAGTGTTTGGATCAGTCCATCCAAACACGGAAACCATAAAGTAATTGTTTTATAAAATAACAACAACACGGTAGTCTTCCGTACGGTGGCCCATACGGGCCAACCCTTCTCCGTAGAA